AATGCACATTCTTTTGTTGACAGGAAAGGAAGCTTTCAGAACATCTTCTTGGATGCCTCCACGCAGAGCTTGTGGATGAGCAGTGGAACTTTGGAAAAAATGATAGGAGCTTGAAATACATTGAACGCTGCCTCCAGAATTTCCCAGGATTTGGTGTGCTGGGTCCAGAGGGGGACCCTATCTCTTGGACTGTGATGGAACAGTCTTGTGAGATGAGAATGGGTTATGCTGTCCCCACATACCAAGACCAAGGCTACATGAAGAAAATCGTTTTCATTTTATAAAGTATTTTATTCAGAAAAAATGCCATTTTATTTGGCGGTGGCAAATGATAAAGAAGAAAAATGTCATGCACTGAGAAATGTGGGGTTTAATGCTATTCCTCATGGCTGGCATTGATGGAAATGCACTGCCAAGAAATATTACTTAGTGCTATTGTCCATTTCAAGCCTTTCTTATCAGTGAAAAAAATACCATTTTCAAACACAAATCTGATAATGTGTATTAGCACAAAAACATCCAATGATTTCAGGTCCATGGATTACTTAACCCACCCTTGTATAATATTTTGTCCTCCATATTACAGAAAAATGGAAGCTTGAACTTTGGTGTTATGTTTTGTCTTTATGGTGAGAGACCTCTCAGAATTAAAATCATCCAATGTCAATCATTAGTGCCAGGATAGCTCTTTCAAAGTAACATTTGCCACTTTGAAGTCTTCTTTCATGAAAGAATCCTGCTTTTTCATGCTTCTATGCTTTAAAATTAAAAGTCTATTTTGAAACGTGTCTCCTCTGCTATTGTCCATTTCCTCTGACAAAATATCCCAAAGGACCTTTCAAAAGTTCAGTTGTTTTTTTTTTTTTTAAGATTTATTTATTTGACAGAGAGATAGACAGCAAGAGAGGGAACACAAGCAGGGGGCGTGGAAGAAGGAGAAGCAGGCTTCCTGCTGAGCAGGGAGCCCGATGCGGGGCTCGATCCCAGGGCCCTGGGATCATGACCTGAGCCGAAGGCTGATGCATAACGACTGAGCCGCCCAGGTGCCCCAAAAGTTCAGTTTTTGATCCTGGGTGCCCTCTCAAGAGTTTTGAGATACTCTACTGAACTAAATTATGTGGCCATTAGTGAACATTTGGTTTTCTTTTCCTTTTTAAGATTTTATTGGAAGGATTTTATTTATTCCCAAGAAGAAAATAAATATACGTTTTAAGATTGTGTGTGTACGAGAAAGAGAGAGAGAGAGCGAGCGCAAGCCTGACCAGGGGGAAGGGCAGAGGGAGAATGAGACTCCCCGCTGAGCAGGGAGTCTGATGCGGGGCTTGATTCCAGGACCCCAGGATCTTGACCTGAGCTAAAGGCAGATGTTTAACCAACTGATCCGCCCAGGAACCCCGAAAGTTTCATTTTTCTGATTAGCCTTTTATCAGAGGGCTGGATAGGTTGAGTTGTGTGGCTTAACTTCACATTTCCAGCATGACTTTTCTATCTGTTCTATATTAGTTTCCTATTGTTCTTGTAACAAATCACCACAAATTTAATGGCTTAAAGCAGCAAAATTTATTATCTTACATATCTGGTGGTCAGAAAGGCAAAATGGATCTTAGGAGAGGAAAAGCAAAGTGTCAGCATCAGTTTCTTCTGGAGTTTGGTCGGGAGATAGTTCCTTCTGGAGTCTGGAGGAAAGAATCCATTTTCTGCCCTTTCTAGCTTGGAAAAGCTGCCTTTATGACTTATGCTGTGGTCCGGCATTCCTTTGTGTGCTTTTCCCACACAACCTTCTCCTCTTCTGTACTCAAATCTCTCTCCATGTCCCTCTCACATGGACACTTGTGATTACACTCAGAACCCACTTGGGTTAAGTCAGCGTATTCATCCCATCTCAAAATTCTTATTTAATCACATCAGCAAAGTCCCTTTTACCACATAATTTAACTTTCAAAGCTTCTAGGTAGTAGGACCTAGATAGCATTGGGGGTCATCATCCATCCTACCAAAAAGGAGTGTCAGGTTTATGTTTCTCTATAAGCAAAGTCACCGCATACTTCCAGAACTCACAGGTTCTCAGTCCGAGACTGACTAGCATTTGTATATTCTAGGTCTGGATCATGGGAGAGAACTTTAGTTTGAACCCTGTGCCTATCAAAAATTCTATCAATTATGACTTAGAGTTCAGGTCACGTAGAAACATTGATATTCAGGGCCCATTCATTTAGGGGATCTGGGGAATAAAGCACCATAGATACAAGAGAATTTGATCACTGCCATGGGACAGTCACTGTTGTATTTTCCACTCACTTTTCTGAGTAGAAATTTTATTTTAAGTGGTTGGATTCTGGCCATACTCTACTATGCTGTATTGGGTATGTGAGTAGGGTGAAAGGGAATGGTAGGATTCATCTCTAGACCACAAAAAGCTGCATCCTGATGTGATGGAGACAGGCACATCAATCAGAAATTCTGGACTATCTAGGGGAGTGGGTAAATATGTCTATGACGTAGTCTGCCAGAAGATGGAGAAAAAAAGAGTTTCCATCTTATCTCTATCTTCCAGATAACAGGTGAGTGCATCTATTTTATACCCGAATCTTAACTTGCAACTTAGACTGAAATATTTCTATTTTAGCTTCCTAGACTATGGATAAGAGAGGGTGGGCGTGGAGACTTAGCAAGTCATGCTTCTATCCTCCACAGAAGGGCAGAACTAGAGGAAAGAACAGAAAAGCTAGGATTTTCTGTTGGCATTTGCAATAGGGGCTGATGTTACAGGTGACACAAAAGAGAAAAAACACTAAGATTACCAAAGAATTTTGAGTTTTAGAGGAACAATAAATCTTTTTTCCTTTGCTCTAAAGGTTTATTTACCCATTATTTTGTGATGCAGAGAATGGGGTTACCTTACCAGTTAGGAAGATGGGATGGATGTATCCTCCTAAGCATTCAGGATGGTAAATACCAAATTCTTTGTATGTATATAACAGAGGCTTGAGATAGCTTCAAATTAAAAAAAAAAAAAAATCAGAATTTACTTAAACTCTTATATGTGTTTTGCACATCCACATGATCTCTAAAACTTTTTTAATTTAAAAGAATATTCATTATACTTTAATGAAACAGCCCCAAATACTCTAAATTATTGGCATATTTTCTTGAAAAAAATGTTTCTAGAAAACATTTTTCTAATGTTCCATGGATTCAATCTGATGATCTTGAAGTGACAACTCTTGTTTGTTATGGTCTTCGTTATGGTTCTCGTTTTCCCCTTCATTTAAGAATCTATAAAAGCTCTCATTTTTATGTTTAACGTCACAAAGAACTGAACACATAGAATAGCCATATTCAATAAGGGCTTGGGTTTTATCTCCATGGTTGTAAAAATGCCCAACAGTATGAATAGCAACCAATTCACCAGATGTATTAAACACTGGGGAGCCAGAGGACCCACTGGAAAAGCTGGTATCATAGCTAAGTGTGTCAGTGCTCCAAACTTCTGGTAGGAAACTTCTTTGGGTGAACATGCAGAAAACATTATAAGGGGCAGCATGGGGTTCTACCATCCCATCTTGGTGTTCTAGGTACCTCTCTAACCGCCGGTTTAGAGGAATCACAGCACAGCCATCTATCTTCTTGACCTGGCCTTCTGGGTGACCAATTAAATAAACCAAATCACTAGGTGTTTGAGAGGAAATTCGTTCAAACAGGCCTGGAGGGAATCCATTTCCATTATTTCTTAGCTTTAGAATGGCATAATCTAGAGGTCCATCAGACACTCCAAACCATGGCTCAATGTCATACCAATCAACATTGGTAGGGCAGAACCTTTTATAAGTGAAAGTTACCTTTGCACATTTGCTTATTATATCTGGCCACAAACTTGGATCTGTGCCTTTTCCCACCATAAGATGTATTACATGTCAACAGGTGAAAATATAACCATGATTGAAGACAAAGCAAGTAGCATTCCCTGTGTTTCCATTACTGTCCCATGCCATGAATCCAACTGACTTACTAAGATGAATAAGATCTTCACAGGTTGCAACTGAAGTAGAATTTTCAGTCACTTTCCCAAAGTACTTTTTATATATGTTGAATTGTTGAAAGGTTGTCAGTTTGGTTCTCTTCCGTTCATCCCGAAAATACTTTCTCATCCAAAGTGCCTCCTTATTAAAATTTGGATATTGATTCATTATATGTTTGTGCAACATTTGGCAATTCTTTAGCCAGAGGTTAGCTGCATTCCTCGGGATAGCTTGAATAACATGCTGCATACCCACAGGGGGCCTTTGCCTATGTCTTGAGTTGTTCCTCCAGTATTTTCTGTTAAAACTATTATAATAATCCCTTATTCTGGAAATTGTGCGTCGTTTTTTACCTTTAATACCATGCCCTAGACTCTGAGGTGGGACGATTTTTTCTCTGTTGGACTCTACAACTTCAGTTTCCCCATCTGCCTCTGGTTCGTATTCTTTGATCTCAGACTGTATCTGATCCTGGGGACCGATTTCATCAGTGGCATTTTCATTCTGATTAATTTTTTTAGGAGCACCTCTCCTGACATGTTTCTTAAAAATGTCCATTTCTAAGGTTTTTCCACATACTTCATCCACCAGGGACTGCTTTCCATGAATTTTCTGATGATCTTCCATTACTTTCCATTCAAATTTGTCAAGGTCGGACGGAAATCGGCCATCCTTGCTTAGAGCTTCTTGGATAGTCTCACCCTTTAACGCATAGATACAAAGTGTACTTCCTCTTTCATGAAGTTCCTTGATCTTGACAATCTTCTTTATATTCTTTCCAACAGCAACAACGTGAAAAAGAATGCATTCCATGTTTGGATCCTCACATTGGCGAAACATCTGATCATCTTCCTGGTTACCCTTTCTTTGACCAAATGCTATTTTAAAATGGGAATCTTTAGGTAGGCACTTGAGAGGCATTCCTAAATTTACATATCTGCCTATAGTTTTCTCTTCATAAGCGAGGATGTTCTTATTAAAATGATTCTCCATCCTTTCTCTGAAATTGGCCTTAGCTCTCAGGGCTGAGTAGATATTCTCAGTGAGTTTACCATGGGCTGTAAACACACTACGGTCTAATTTCCTGGAGCTTTCACTCAAGGTAAAAGTAAAAGAACATTTTTTACTGGTGCTCAAGTCTCGGTTCTGAATTTCCACAGAGGCTTCCTGCTTGACTTCACTTTTAAGCTTACTGGGACTGCTACGCTCTTTCCTGTCAGACAGAGAATGAGCAGCAGGTGTGCCAGGACGTGTCTGCCTCATGACAGCAACCTTAAAAAAGGAAAGATTAAAAACTTAGTAAGAACCGCCTTTAATAATAACGTTTCCTGTTTTTCTAATTATAAAACTGATAGATACTGTGAAGAAGAATTGGATAATAACATGGATAATGAATAATGGAGAACAAATACCAGTCAAGTTATTCTGTCACCAGAGATAACCATTCTACGTGTTGTTTTATTTGTTTCTATGATTTCACATGCACATACAAATCACTAAGCAATCTGCCATTGATTGACATGTCATGAAACACATTTAATGACATACATGCCATTCAACAACCTCTGAAAACACAATTCAAGGGGCCACAGGATATTTCACTGTACAATAATTCTAATCCATTCTTCTTTTGCTGGATACTTAGATTCTTTCCAAGTTTTTACTACTCTAAATACGACAAACATTTCTACACATAAAACATTTTGTCTCAACATCTGGATATTTCCCTAGGCTAGATGCCCTGCTGTAGAAAAACTGAGACTAAGGTTATAATGTACTTCACAACATCTGTGCTGCCCGGCTCCTTGCACCAGTTCATCCTGCTTCTTCTCCCCTTGCTGCCCAAAGAGAGCAACCAAATGGTTGACTCCTCCAAAGGATTTCAGTACTATTATTTTAAATGTCTACCAACTGATAGATGAGATGCCATTTAATTTGACTGTTTCTAAAATCTGCATTACTTACTAGTAAAGCTGGAGCTATTGAATGCACCTCTTGGACAGCTGAAACATCACCTTGCAAAAATTCCCATTAAGTATCTGTTTAGTTCTATTCGGTACGTGTTTCAACAGCAGTAAGGAAATACATAATATACTAAAATGATTGATAAATCCCAGGATCGGATAGATATACAAGTAAATACACATGGGCATATACACATAAATATACATATTCAAAAACATATACACATAGAACCAGTTGGCAATAGCCTGGGAAAAAGTATTGATAATCCGATGGCAACAGGAATCAAAACCAAGGACATAAGTGAAAAACATGACACCACAGGATTCAGTAGAACTTGGATGGGAATTCTTGTGGAGTCTCAAGTCTTGGACCTATTCTATATGAACAGAAGAACAAAGCTGGAGAGAGTAAACTCAGGAGGGACAGAGGGGCTTGGTTTATTTAGGAGGCCAGCGCAATTGAATGAGCTGTCTAGTTTCAGGCACAGTGAGTTTCATCCTCTCATGGTGCTTTCCTTTTCCTTTGCATTTATTCATTTCCAGGTTTTTTCTACAAAAAAACAGTGGTTCCATCCTGCTGTGAATATCCTTGAATGTTTCCTGGTGTACACGTGCAAGAATGTCACTCAGGCGTAGGAGTGGGACTGCTCCAATTTAGGATCTCTGAATACTTCCCTTTATTAAATACTGCCATATTATTTACAGAATGGTTGTACCACCTTGTACTTCCACTGTGGGACATCTACATCCTCATCCAAAGTCAGTACTGCCCAACTGTCGACATTTGCCAATCTTGTGGGTGTGAAATGGCATCTTAATTAGTTTACTTACTAATGGGAGTTGAACGCCTTTTCATGCTTCTGCCTGTTCATGTCTCTTGCCCGTTTTTCTATTGGACTATATTCCTTTTGATCACTGAAAATCCTTTCTATATTCAGACACAGTTGTTTATTTATTATATGTCTTAAACATATTCTTGGAGTATCTGGCTTGCTTTTTCATTCTCATCAGGCATCATTCCAGATAAGAAATCCTTAGTTTTCTGTTGTCACGTTTATTTATTTATTTATTTTTTAAAGACTTTATTTATTTATTTGAGAGAGAGAGAATGAGAGAGAGCACATGAGAAGGGGGGAGGGTCGGAGGGAGAAGCAGACTCCCCGCAGAGCAGGGAGCCCGATGCGGGACTCGATCCAGGGACTCCAGGATCATGACCTGAGCCGAAGGCAGTCGCTTAACCAACTGAGCCACCCAGGCGCCCTCTTGTCACGTTTATTAATCATTCTATGTCATAAGATTAACTTTCATAGAATTATTCTATTTTTTTTCTAAAAAGTGTAAAGGCTTGCTTTTTCTATTTTATTTTTATTGAAATAAAGCCTACTGTAATCTTCTGCCACATTCTTGAATTTTTCCACACCATCAAGTCTAACTATACTGCTCCCAGATATGTTTTCTTGTGCATATGACTTGACTCCCACTATTTCCTCATGCTGGATATGTCAACGTCTAGTGCGTTGGGGTCCCTGGGTAAGGGTCTACAAATGAACCAGGACACAGGGGATGCAGAGCAAAGGCAGCACTTGCAACTGCATGCTGTCGTTTATTTCTCACGTAGCTATATACTTGCAAAGATCAGATAAACATAACACTGTGTTCTTTAAGCATATAATGAAATCGAGCCAACATCCGTGAAGTAAGATACACAAGATTTAATGAGAACAAAATATATACTGTTTATACTTGCTGAATAAAGAATTCTCTCAGCCACCCTTCCTTTGGAGACAGTATGTTCTTGTCTTAAGAAAGAACACTTCTGATTATAAAGAATACTTTAAATCTAGGCACTGGATACACTTCCCTGGTGAAATTCTATTCATCCTGTAAGATCTTTCTCAGGTGATACTGCCTAAATTTTGAGTGCGAATGAAGCATTTCCCCCTCTGCACTCCAAAACACTTGTTTATATCTTGAGTCAGTATTATCATTTTGCATATTTTGTGTTGGTCAAAAACCGACTCTGAAGTCTGACTGCTTGGATTCAAATCCTCACCCTGAAGTTCATCAGTTTTGCAACTTTAAGAAAAGTGGGTTTCAGTTTCTTCAATTTTAAAACAGGGATGATAACAATATCTATTGTTTTATTAAATGTTGAATGAGATAATCCACAGGACATTGCAAGAGTAATTTCAGGTACACACTAATTTCTCAGTAAGCAGTAACTGCTTAATTATTTTGGCCTGTCTGTCCTTCTGATATCAAGCATCTACAGTGTTTGTTAGTGATCTTGTTGTCTAACAAGGCACTTTGCACTGCTAATTCATACACTATCATTTGGTTTTGACAGGCACTTATAGATGTGATCTCCCAAATATAAAATTTCCACAACACAGAGGAAGGGTTTATAACCGCCATTCTTTATGAGCTTATCCCCTTCCAGGATCCTAATACCGTACTATGGTTAGAGTATGCTGCTCTAGCCAAGAGTTGTTAAAAAGGAGACATACCTGTGACTCTTCAGGTCTGGTACCCCGGCCATTTTCTGTAGCAGTGAATGACTTGTTCTCTTCAGGTTTCATGGAGTTCATGATGACTTCTAAGAAACTATGACTCGCTTCTGCTAGTGGCCAAGTCAGAGAAACAAGGTTGGATTTACCCTCCCACTTGCAATGACTAAAAACAAAGGAAAGACAAGGTACATGAAACAACTTTCAAACACTGGGCCCCAGGCAGTGCAGAACAGTGATCTCCTACCTCTCAGAGACAGAAATCAAATGAGGTTATCCCCATGAACCTCTAGCTTTCTGCCTGGGGAGTGTTTCCAGACCATATCTCAGGGAAGGGAAACAGCAGAGCCTGGCAGTTTCCTTGGGTTGAGAAGACAAGCTCAGGGTCATGGGAGGCCGAAGTGGCTGGAGTTTGTAGGGCAGACTACTAGAGAGAAGAGAGCTACAGCTACACACAGGATCGGAGATCTGCAGTGGGTATCCCCTGAAATCTCAGCCGAGTATCGGTCAGTCCATGCATGTGAGGAAGCTACTGGAAGCCAGGGGAAGAACCACTTAAAGGAAAAAGTGGAACAGTTCTGAGGCTCACTCAGGCCTGAGAATAGTTTCTGCTCCCAAAAGCCAAACTAGAAAACTTCACCATGCATGAGGTATCAGGTCGAGTATTCAGGAAGGTATTGTCTCCGTAGTGGGATAAAAGTAGCCCCGGACTGAAGGCTGCCCTGGTCCCACCTGAGGAAGTTGAATGGCAACATTTGCCGGGATCAAACTGTTTGCAAGTCACATGACTGGGCACTACAGCAAAGCTTAAGAAGATCAATGAGAATTGAAACATTTCTGGCACCCCAAAATGTGGAATTAACAAAGCTGGATGTCCAATACAAAATCACCAGGCATGAACAGCAGAGGAAAATAGGATCTCTAATGAAGAAAGAAACTGAGGAACAGAAACAGATCCAGAAGGGACACCGTTCACAGAACTAGTAGCAAAGAACACTGAAATAGTTATTACCTTGAAACTCTGGCCAAATGTAACAGGGACCAGATTTAGCCTCCACACTGAAAACAAAACAAGACAAAATGGGCAAAAGATAGGTAACAATGATTTACAAGGAACTGGCTGGCCATCATGCAATTAAGGACAGTACAAATAGGGCACCCCCTGTGATTACTGCAGCTGCCCGCGTGAGAGATCCCAGGCCAGGCTGCGAGGGGGGCAGTACAGCCAGCTGGAATCCCTGAGTTGAAGAGTCAGAGAGAGGGAGGTGGCAGAGGTGACAGGACACAGAAGGGAATGCCCTCCCCACACCGAGAACCTGGGATACACGAAGAGGGTTCCTCTCAGGTATTCCGGGGAGAACTGAGCAGAGCAGCAATGGAAGAAAGTACCTAAGGCCAAGAAAGAACCACCCCGAAACGTCAAACCCTCTCCCTACACCCCTCCCAGGGATCTGGGGTTCCTGATTTGTAAATGAAGATGTTTGGTGTAGATCAACCTTTTACTGTTCCTGTGAATTACCCCCTCTGGGCTTGTTAAAAAGGAAGATATACCGGATCCCACCCTCAAAGATCATGATTCAGTGACTCTGGGCTGCAGTTAGGATATTTGATCCGTGCC